CGGGAGGAGAGCCTGAAGACACATGAGCTGGCCACGCTTGAGACTAAGCTTGAGACTAACCTGGCAGATGAGTGACGTTATGGAACACAAGTGGAGATTCGGGAGCGAGGCAGAAATGAGTTATGGAAAGTAGCTCTTGAAGTCAAGCACATGAACCTCACATAGATCAGTTTTAGAAATAAGACAGAGTATTATATAGGCCTTGGAATTCATAAGTCTTTTGTTTGACTGTAAACTCTCTTCTAAATCTGTCCTGTGATTTTCATATGATCGACCTTTTCCTCTTCCTTTCATAACTTCTACACCCATTAGCTATCTGGACTTGTTCTCTAACCTCTTCCTTTCACTTCCTAAGTAAGAAGACCATTTCATATTTGCTAAATTAAATGTGGCTTTCAACATATTTGGCAGGAAGGTGCACTTTTCTTCAAGGAAGAGAAATATGGGCCCATATAAAGCATCTGATGAAATAAATATAGAAACAATGTGCCTTTGGGGAGTGCAAAAACACTCCGGGGCTGRTTATATTTGCCAGAACATTGAACATGGACTCATCAGATTAATTAAAATCTGTCATAAAAGCAAATCATTATGCCACAAGAGAGAAAATTCAATATACTTCCTGGAGTCAGAAGGCTATTTTTACCCTATCAAAATAACACTGCTTTTAGAAAATCTTTGTTGCTTTACCAATATGTTTGAGCAGGATTCTGATATCAAAGATGCTGCAGTAATAAAAGCACAGGCCCTGCAATCTTAATTTTTCTCTTTTATTACACGACATATTCTATCCATGCGGGCCTGGGTCTGTGCAGACAAGCACGCCAGGCATGGGGAGGCTGGAGCCACCCATCAGGACACGGAAAGGGAGCACCGGAGCGGCCACGGAGCCGCGTTCAGCCCGGAGCTGCGTGGAGATGGAAACGCTTGTTCACGCTGCAGCTCAGCTTTCTCCTTTCATATTTTCTTTTCATGTCCTTCCCTGATCTTTAAAATTTGTGATTTTGCAACTGATTTCACATCTGATTATTGCTCCTCTTCCTGGCTAGCTATCAACCGCTGCTGACCCCCAAGGCTGGTATCCTTATTCTGGAAGCCTGCGCAAGCGAAAGGCATGAGTCACAGAGCTCCCTCTAAGATTCCCTCGCTTTGAGATTCTGTTCAAAGAGCCCAGTCTTAAAATGAGATAAGCTGAAAGGAATCTGGCTAAAACATACACACAGCTTTAAATAGCTCAGAATACACCATGAGTTGGAAAAGYGCTAAGTATTTCAGTTTTAAGATCTCCTCCATGCTTCTGTCAGGACCATATGGAACGCCCTGATGTTCTGCTCCTGCACTGYTCTGCACTATAGTCCACACTTGAATATAGCGGCTTGATGATACATCACAGAGCCACAAAAGGGTTGAGGTTGGAAGGGACCTCTAGAGCTCATCCAGTCCAACCCCCTGCTCCAGCAGGGACACCCAGAGCACGGGGCACAGGGCGGCATCCAGGTGGGTTTGGAAGATCTCCAGAGAAGGAGACTCCACAACCTGCCTGGGCAGCCTGTGCCAGGGCTCTGGCACCCTCACAGTGAACAAGTTCCCCCTCCCATGGAGATGGAACTGCCTGTGTTKCAACTTGTACCCACTGCCCCWTGTCCTGTCACTGGCCACCACCGAATTCAGTTCACATTTCCAAGGCTGCTCTTACAGAAGAGCAAAATCATGCTATGCAGTAGCTTAAAAGAGAACTATGTACATTCATATTATCTGCACAGCATGATTTATTTTCTATGCTTACATAATATTCAACTGACAGCTAAGCTCATTGAAATGAGCTTTCGCATCCATCTATTTAATGTGTAGTTACCTACCTGGTACTTACTCGTAATTATGAATACAGTCCAGATTTACTAGTAACCTGCAGGAAAACAAGATGGCTTGTGATGTGTCACCATGTGCTGGAATGTCACTAGACGATGTCATATTGGAAAAAGATCAAGATCCCTTTCTAGATTTAAGAATTTCAGTTTAATTTTCAGAGATGCAAAAAAAATGCAATCTTTAGATTTCAGGATGTTTCAAATGCTCATAGAAATGAGTCTGCTCATAGAAATGAGTCTGTTTTATCTGTGGTGCCATAACAGCTGATTTCATCTAATATCGGGGCTCTGTGTGTGTGGAAAGTAAAATACGGAAAGAATCAAGAAACTGGAAGAAAAATTTATTACTCCTAATTTCTGATGTCTCCAGTTGGCATACAGAAGCATGAAAACATTTAAGATACCATCTCACCTTATTTTGTGATTTTTAACCTTTTGAGTTAATGAGGCTACTCTTGTTTGCTACACAGGGCAGCAGTAGGTGCTGAAGCTCTGGGAATATTCAGTTCATTCTGCCCTTGGGGTAACTGCAGGATGGTTACGGATCAACTTCCAATGTTTATGTTAAGCGAGCATGCAATGTTGTCTAACATCTAATACCAGTTCRGGGAAAGTTGAGGGGCCCCTGGAACCTCTGCCCTAGGCTGACAGAGCTGGGCCTGCTCAGCCTGGAGAAGAGAAGGCTGAGGGGGGACCTGATCAGCGTGTATAAATACCTCAAGGGAGGCAGTGAGGAAGATGGGGTGACCTCTTTCCAGTGGTGGCCACTGACAAAACTAGAGGAAACGGCCGCAAAATGAAGCACCAAAAGTTCCACAGGAACTTAAGGAAACACTTCTTGACAGTGAGGGTGACAGAGCCCTGGAACAGGCTGCCCAGAGAGGTTGTGGAGTCTCCTTCTCTGGAGATCTTTAAAACCCGCTTGGACGCAGCCCTGTGCCACGTGCTCTAGGTGACCCTGCGTGAGCAGGGGGGTTGGACTCGATGACCTCTGAGGTCCCTTCCAACCTTGGGCATTCTATGATTCTATGAAAGACGATATGTAATTTTGTCACTCCCATGTACAAAAGCTTAGTGGTCTTGTCCCTGCTGGTTTTGTATCTCATAAGGAAGTTTTTGTACAGTATAAATGCATTTTGTATTGTGTAACTGAAATTTTGTAAATTACAAGCTAATGTAAGTATTAAGTATTATGTTAACATTATATGTAGGATGTATGTAAGTATTAAAAGGTTTATGGAAGCAGAATTAAATCTTACCTATGAAAACTCATGCCAAACTTTCTGACTTGCACAGACTTGTGCTTTTTCTTTTTTTAAAATGTTTTATTTTACAACACTTTGTGGAATTCATTTGTGGAGTTATATTTTTCTTTTTAAACAAAAGGAAAATAAAAACCAACAGAAACTGCTGGTGCATCTGTAGACTCCAATACCTGAAACYTGAAGCTACAAATTCTTCTGTTCCTCCTTCCTTGACTGAAGATATCGGCTCTAGAGGTGGGCAGAGATTCCCTCCGAAAAGCAAAGCTGAGAATTAATTTCATAAATGACTGACTTTCACACACCCAGGTATGAGGCAGTTACCCTCTCTACCCTTCATAGTCAGTGGGGAGACACAAACAACCCCAAAGTGATTGACGTCCTCCTGCAAGAGGTGCTTGCAGCTGGAAACTCATCTCACCGGCCTCCAGCGTCCATCTCGGAAGAGAGGAACCTCCTGCAGTGTCTGTTTCTCTCCATTGGCTACCAAGGGTAGGCAGGGCGACTGGCTCCTAGCTAAAAATTGTCTTAAATATCTCACACTTGTGCTAGGAATGAACTTGGCTTTCAGCATTCTCTACCGGTCAAGGATGGCACATAGCACATCATCTGATTCCCTGAGCTGCCCTGGGCTCCAACTTGGGCAGCCAACTTCTAAGAGTCAAGTTTTGGGAACACTTATTGAAATTTCATTTCCTGGCAAGTTTTATATACATCTCTTTTTCAAGGCAGCATGAAAAGACTGAAAGCACCAAAGTTTCTTATGCATCAGGAATTCTCAGATWCATCAACTCCAAATGGAGCACTGGGTATTCCTGGACTTGGGTCTTAAAGGATGAGACATTAGGAAAAAACACAGCTATTTTAACACCTGGTCTCATTCCAGTTAATAGCTTTGCACCTGATACATTCTTCCCCATTAAGTCAAGTTTATGCTAATATTGTCCTGATTAGCAAATACTATTTAAAGCTGTTTTCTAGGAAGACTTTTGAATAAGGTAGGTATCCAGGATGGGTGGGTTTCACTGAAAAAGAGGGTGCTGACAGGTTTAAGACACCCAGAAGCTCTTTGACAGTAAGCAGCCCTGCAGGACTGTGGAGCAGCTTGAGATGAGGAGTGGGGAAAGCTGCTGAGGAGCCTGCTTGCTGCAAGGTAAACCTCGGCTTTTACTGGATGTGGCTGCAATTTCTAATGCCAGGGCATTTTTATGGAAAAATCAGTTAGCTGCATGAAATTTGCTAACCCCTGAAGATCAGGAGCTTGAAACATTGTGTATGAGTTAAACAGCCCCCAGAGTGGTCTGTATGCACAGTGCTCTGCAGAGCTTAGGGAAAGGGGAAGCGAAGGGGACCGAGCAGCTACGGACCCAGCGGGGCACTTGTGTAAATTCCCCTCATGGAAGGGCCTCAGTTGCTGACTTCTGTGCACCAGACTTCACTGCATGGGTAAAATTCACTCCAGAAACCACCTTGTACCCCAGAAGGGGCTTTCTCTTCCATTGTGTGGTTTTGTCTTGTTTTTCTTTTCCTTTAGGAAAAGTACCTACCCAATAATGGCCTTACTCTGCATGTGTCTGGGGTTTTCCAAAGGCAGGAACTGGATCACTAATGACTTTCCAGGGCAAGTATCATGGTGTTCATTTGAGGATGAGAAAAAGTAATACATGTGAAATTAAGCTGATTTCTTAAAGCTGATACATTCTGGCAAGATAATAGACACTTTCAGAGCATATCTAACCTRCAGGTCAAGTTCTTCACAAAGTACAAAACTGTTTTCTTTTAAAAGGGCACTGTTGCTGCCACAGCMCTTTGCCACAGGGGCCCAGCAAGAGCTGACATGAAGTTCCCTTCCATTTATTTCCCAGGGAATTCCGCTCCATCCAGAGCTCTTGGCCCTTCCGAAATGGCGTCTATTCCTTTGGGACGAAGGTGAGGCACAGAGGTAATCTCTGCTCTTTTAGCTGAAGCTGTTTTCCTTTTTATAATAAAAAACATCCCAATAATTCAGGATCCCTTGGGACAGGAAAGGCAAACAACCGCACACTCGTAGGCAGGGCGTTCGGCAGGAAGGCGGAGGCYGCTCCAGTGCGATGGGCGGCGCTGAGCTGAGCTTTGGATTCAGTGCTCAGCTTTGCCCTGCCCTGGCGCCCTCTCTGCACTGGAGTTCCAGCTCTTGGATGCTGGAATAGCATCCCTTGGYTGCCTTGGCTATTCAATAGGATGAATAGCCCATCCCTTGGGTTATTTACCACCTTAACYTCCCGCCTTATTTCAGGGAGGCCTAGGCATATTCTCCTGCTTTACGTGATAGCCTCGCTACTAGTCGCTCTGATGGGTGGTTTGCTCAGTGTTTTGTCACCTGGTTTTGGGGGTAATTAATTAATTATCGGATTACACACACAAAAATCTTTTTTGCTGTATTGTGTGTGTGTGCATCACACATGTGTGCATATACATATATAGATACACATGTACTGAGCATGATTCAGTAATTTAACGACTGAGAGAACTAAAGGTATCCATATGCCTTGCTGGAGTATTTTATAGGCTATGTATAGGCCTTGGCGCTCTCAGACTAGAGAAAAGGTCAGGAATGAGCTGCCAGAGAGCAGCTTTGTGTAGGGCCTGGTCCAAAATGGAGGGGAGCAGGATGGAGAGGGCGATGGTGCGGGGCAGCCCTCGGGGAACCCAAGCAGGCTGCGTCCAAAGGGTAAAAAAATGTTTTAATAACGGCAGGTCAGGGGGGCCCCCCGAGGCCTCGCCCCTCACCCGCGCGCGGAGGGACACGTCGCGGTGAGGGCCGCAGCGCCGGGCGGGCCGCAGCGCGGGGCACGCGGAGCCCGCGGCTCCCTCCGCCGTGCCCGGCGGGGGC